CACAGTGCCATAGTGCTCACTCCCCAGTTTTATCATGTTTTTCAGGTCAGGAAGTCAGGCCGGGAGCGTGACGTGACGTGACGGGACTTCAGGATATTTATACTTTGGATTGTATAAATATGATGATTTACGCTTCCGCTTACGATACTTGGATGTCTTTTGATGATGTTTTTATGACTTTTGACGTACTCGTTTAGACGAACTTAACTTTTGACAAACTTTTAAGTAATTTAAGTTTTCAGTAACCGGACGATGTTATTAAAATTAAAATAACGGTTTTCTAAGTTAAGTCACGATTTTTTTTTTAAAAGGTAGCACCCCGAATCAGTTTTCGCAAAGTAAAAAGGTTTTATTTTAAGTAACTTTGCGAAATTTGCGCTACTCTGATTTAACGATAAGGAGGGGTATTACAGTCGGATCATATGAATTTGGTTTAAGGAGAGGCCTAATGTGGTCTTATGTTTGAGGGGAGGTTTGTAGGGTGTGCAAATACAATCCCACATCGAAAAATTAAAGGTTACAAGTCCAATATATAAGTTTGGTGGGCTACACCTTTTATTGCCAATTGGTTTTAGAATGGAACCCCATTTGGGCTTGTATGTTGGGCTTGATGGAGAAATAGGTTTTGAATTGTTGATCCTAACAATTGGTATCAGAGCCAGGTTGGTAGCCCAGTTGCGATGTGGATGACGTGGCATGTTCCCCGTGGAGCCGGAAGGGCCGGTGGATCCATGTGCCTTGTGTCGAAAGTAATACTGGTGAAAGAGTGTGGTCAGGCGGCGGGTTCCGTGGGTGATAACGGCGGTATAAGATGGTCGGATCATATGAATTTGGTTTAAGGAGAGGCCTAATGTGGTCTTATGTTTGAGGGGAGGTTTGTAGGGTGTGCAAACACAATCCCACATCGAAAAGTTAAAGGTTACAAGTCCAATATATAAGTTTGGTGGGCTACTCCTTTTATTGCCAATTGGTTTTGGAATGGAACCCCATTTGGGCTTGTATGTTGGGCTTGATGGAGAAATGGGTTTTGAATTGTTGATCCTAACACCTCCATCCTCGTCCTCGCCGTCTCCGTCCTCGTCCTCATCCTCGCTGACGATTTCGAGCATCAACAGTGGCAGAGGATTGAGGCAATTTTTGGGTTAGAAATTCAGAGATTAGTTCGAAGTTGACATTTTTGGTGTGGGGATTGTTAAACCTTTGCAGATTACAGAGCTGAATTTGGCTCGGTTTTGCGTAGAGATTAGGTTTTGATTTACAGATGAACTGAGTGACATACGCAGTTTTGGGTTGTTCCTTTTCCCTTTTATTTATTTATTTATTTATTTTTTTTTTTGTTTTTCTTTTTGGTTGGTGTTTTAAATTGGTATTTTTTTTTAAATCTTAATGGCACTTTAGTAATTTTATGTTATTAATAAGGTTAATAAGGTATATGGTAATTGTGTTGTTCATCTTCCTCTTCCAAAGCATGGTAATACGATGGCCCATTCTTCCCGTGAATTTCTGAAGAAGCGGCCATTGAATCACGAACTAGGTTTCTTCACAAGTACTTTAAAATTTGATAGCCTTTGGCAAAAATATAAAAATATAAATTGATAAATTTAACTGGAGGAAGTTTGAAGATCACTGAGCATTATCTGAAAATTATGAAATTCGAACGACTTTGGTGCATAAGAAAGGAAAAAAATAATATATCGGATTGGAGGAAGTTTCAAGAGTACTGACTACTGAGCATAACTTTTGCACGTGAAGTTTCAAGATTACTAGGTATAATTTTAATCATGAAATATACTAGATATTATTATGAAAGGGTATTTATAAATTACATAAAATTTTTATTAATAATGATAAAATATTATTTATCACAAACATAGTCGTCATAATTTATGTGTCTTTAAGG